TTCAAATTAAAATTCTATTTAATATGTAGGACGACTCTAGCTGTTTATTTTAAATTGGTCCCCATTTTTTCAAGCAAACATGAGGCCCAAAATTTCTTCACATTAAGGATCACAAAAATTACATTAATGCCACATGTTCCCAACGCTGCTTGTTAAATGAAATTATGACTTAGTCCGTTTCAAACTTCTAAGATTGGGGTTCTTCAATTTTTCGAAAACATTTTCTTTTTATTAACTGATTTTGTTAACAATTTTTTATTTATAAAAACTTAAGAAGCCAACCTCTTCAAAAATAAAAACCTCAGATGCCAATAGGTAATACACAAAGTAATGTGTATGGTTTTTTTATTTTTTGATATAACCGATCGTCATAGTAGGAGCACACTCCAGCCCAGTGCTGAGTTTTTAGAATATACAACTTAGGCTAAGTTGTCCAAGCCCAAACTAGGTAAATCATTTATTAGCCTACACCTCTATGTAGACATAAGCCCACCCCTGTATAATCTCAGTCGTTAGATTGATTGGAATCCATGTTATGTAACTTTAGGACCCGTGTGATGCATTTTTATAACAAAGATAAATTCTTTTTAATATAATAAATGAGAATTTATCAAAAATAGCCAAAACTTGACCTCCAATTTCAAAAATGTCAGTTTTTATAAAAAATTTCAAAAATAGCAGAAAACTCACCTCAATAGACACAATTGCCCTCAAATTTAAAACCCACATAAATCTAAAAAAGAAACCTTATTAAATAAAACATTGGAATATTTCCTCCAAACATGCTTAGTCCAATCACCTATATTTCTTTTTTCATTTTTTTTCCCTTCTTCTTCAGTTTGTCTCCAGCATCACACTACAAGAAAATAGGCCTTAGTTGACACTTAATAGTTGACGTATTGACGTTTTTTGCAAACCCATCAACTATTTTATGAAACTTTGACGCTTTTTTAAAAGCGTCAACTACTTAGCGAGTTTACTTGACGTTTTACAAAAAACATCAACTATATATCACTTTCCCTGACACTTTTTAAAAACCGTCAACTCTATATTACTTTTCCTTGACATTTTATAAAGAATGTCAACTGTTTATTACTTTTCGCTGACATTTTACAAAGAATGTCAATTAAAACCATTTTATACCCTGACACTTTTCTAAAATATCCTCAGGAAAAAAAAGCGCGCTAGTTCGCGGGCATTTCGCTCCAAATTCATCTAAGTGTTTGCCCTATATTCAACTCCTCTTCCTCTTGGTCACCACTTTTTCCCTTCATTCCAAAACCAAAAATATCAGAGTCCTTAGGGTTTTCCACTCTTCATTTCTTAAATTGGATACAGAAGTTCGAAGAGAATGTGAGTATCAAATCTTAGTGTGCTCATGCTCTGCTAGTTGGGGTGGCAACAATTCAGGTGTATTTCTTATCTATCCAAAGTTATTATAGTTCATATGAATGTATTTTTGCCCGACTCTGTTCATCTTTCATTCTCTACAGAGTATTTTCTCTCTCTATGTACATCTCTCAGAAAGTTTTGTGCTATCTCTCCATTCCTTAGGTACCTGACATGAATCTCACTGCATCTCAAGATGCTTCGGGGAGTTGAACCAGGGAGAATGTTGAAATGGGAGAAAAGTGAAGATTTTTAACAAACAGTCAAGAATATTGAAGATTTGCTGCCGACAAAGAACTGGGTTTGTGTTCTTTATTGTCCAATATTCCTAATTTTTTTCAAGCTTTATAGGTGGGCATTCAATATCTCTACATATCTGAACTACAACTAATCGAATTCAAAAAAAAAAAAACATAATTTTTAAGTAAAATGAGGAAACTGAGAAATGAGGATAATGAAGATAATGAAGAAAATGAGGATAATGAAGATTATGCAAGATCAGATTGTGAAGGAAATTGGATTAGTAAAAAATCATCAAAAAAACCAAAAACTGGTATGCAAAAACTTTATTTTCCCTCTATATGTCTAGATTCTTCATTTTATATAATTATATAAATGTAAATATTAATATATAATTGATCATCTTTCTTTCTGTCAAGTGGTTTGAAACTATTGTATAATATGTTTCAGGTTGCTAGCTTATGTTGGGCCTTCCATGTTTGTGCAATTCGTTATATGTAGAGGGATACACTTTTGCTAGAAAAAAGAAGGGTGATTTGGATTGCTTTTGGGGAAGTTGGGAAGCTGTTGACTGCTTTTGGAATGAGGGCACGCTTTAGGCCTTCGATTCTTATATGATACACAATTTCTCTCTCTCTTCCAGATATGAATTAGAAAACTATCATTACTACAACTTGTATTTTCTCTAGTTTTTTTTTTTCTTCTTTTGTTTTCTTTTAGGATGGGTGATGTTTCGTTAATGGTCCTACTTTTGGTATTCCATTACTCAAAGCGTTGTCTACTTTGTGAATTGGTAGCCCAATTTGATTGTAGTTACCACTCTTTATTTATATAATTCTTATGTTTTTGTAAGAAAAAAAATATGATCTAGTTCTTTGTACATACATTAAATTTAGTTTTATATGTCTTCTTATGAGATTGATTTTCCTATTTCTTTGATCTATTAACTCTTGGTTCACAGGCTTATAGATACTATGGATCATGCAAATGAAACTGATGTGAAGTTCAACAATAAACGTACAAGAGGAGTAACAAAGAAACCGCAAATAGCTAAAAATCGAAGTCGTGGTATCAAAGAGATTGTCCAATACAACAAAAAAGGACAACCTCATGGAAAAGAGCATACTGATCTTGAATCCACACTAGTTATGCTAGCACGTACTACAGTGCCAATCACTTATAATGATTGGCGAGAAGTTCCAGAAGATTTTAAACATAAGATGTGGGATTACGTGGAGGTAAATTTAGTACTAATTTTAATGTTAAGTAGAGTTCATTCTTTTTTCATGTAGCCTTTTACTAATTAGGAATCTTTAGTATTTTGCAGAAATCATTTGTTGTGGATCATCGTAGTAGGAAAAATATTATATCGTCGATTGGAATTAAGTTTCGATCATTCAAGCATGCACTGACCAAATACCATATTATTCCTTTTATGAATGATCCTGAGCATCTAAAGAACCCACCAGATTTGTACAACTTTATTCAAAAAGAACATTGGGATAAATTTGTAGCAAGTCGAGTTTCTGACGAATTCCAGGTCTGTATATATTTTATTTTGTTAAACCAAATTTTACTTTATTATGATAATTTAATTTGGACATCTAATCTCATACAATGTTCTAGGCACTTAGAAAACTTCAACAAGAAAGGCGGGATAAACATATCTACAACCACAGACTTGGCCGACAAGGCTATGTTGGCTTAGAATTGAAGATTGTAAGTATTTTGCAGAATCATTTTATCAAACATTTAGTAATTATTATGTCATTGTGTTTACTCTATGTAGAAAGATGAGCTTGGATCTAGTGATGATGATGAACTTGATCGGAGTGAACTCTGGAAAAGGGCTCGTCAAATGACTAATGGGCTATTTGATCCAGCAACACAAGCAATTGTAGACAAGATAGTAAGTTTTGATGAAATTTCCTAGCAATTGAAACCTTGTCTTATACTTATAAAGTTGTCATTTTTGTAGGATGAACTGACCAAGCAATCTAAGTTAGGCTTGTTGGATAAAATAGTTGGTGATCAGGATATTTTGACTCAATCTTTGGGCACACCTGAGCATTGTGGTCGTGTTAGGGGTGTGGGAAAGTTTGTCACTCCAACTATTCCACACTCCTCAAGCCCCAGTTGATTGGAATAAGAGAGAAAAAAATTATTGCCAACGACTCGCCGCACTAGAGGAAACGGTAAAAGCACTAAGTCAGCAACAGCCTCCCACACCACATTCAGACGTTTCTTCTAATAACTTAAGGAACAAAGTTGTCTACAATGCTCAAGTAAAGGAGACTTTTGCTGCTGCTGTGGAAAAAAAAGTAGATAAAGATCAGACCTGTCAATTGGCGCTAGTCTACAAAGATAATGTTGTTGCCACAGGAACAATTCTGGAATCTGGTACTCCAAATGTTTTGGTGGTTATTGAAGTGGTTTTGGATCCAGATGCACTCCTTCCATTCCAAATTGATGAGTGCTTGGTGAATGTGAAGGATGGGGTAGGGCATCATGTACTTTGGCCTAAGGAATTTGTTCTTCACACAGTTCCTAAGGTACTCAAGAATTAATTAGTATAAGGAATTTGGTATATTTTAGGCACAAATATTTACGTTGTTTCATTTTATATGTTTAAGGGGAGAAAGGAAAAGCTGATATTGAAAAGGTACCATTTCATAAGGATGAGAAGACTCTTAAAAAGGTATTCATGATTCATTATTAGAGTGCTGTGTTCATGTATGCTTATAGATGTATACTTAATATTTCTTTGTTATTTTTTTTTCAGGGTCCCAATAAAGTTGAGAAAACACCTTTCACTGACAATTCTCTTCTGGAAATCCAAAAAACATCTTCTTCTCTCTCATTTGTCTCCAAATAAAATGTATGTATTTCTTTGGCAAAAAAAAAAAGTATGTAGAACCAAAAATTCAGGAAATTATTGAATCTATGCCCAAGTATAATTTCCTCTTCTCACCCAAAAAAAAAAATATTTCACGTAACTTTAATTCTTCAAAAATTGTCAGAAATTTAGAGGTATTCTGTAGAATAAAAAATTCAATAAAACGATCTACATGAAAATATATAATTAAATATTCATTCATTACAATTCATAAAGTTAAAGAGAAAAATATTACACCACTTAGTCTATGAGGTAGGATGAAGTGCAATCGGATTCTTGCAAGTTTGTCGATAATGGCCAATTGAACCACATCTTGAACACTTACGAGTTGATGGTTCTTCTCCTCGTGAAGGGATTCTCTTTTCCTTACGCCTGCCGTGCCTTCTTCGTGTAATTGGTGGTAGCACAATTCTATCTCGTACATCATCAGGCACCACCCAATCTGTTTGATCCCCAACTGGCCATATAGGTTCTGCATACGCAATTATCAATGAGTTTGTAGTATAATATTTTGAACACATTGGGTAGCATGAAATTTGTCGATGCCTACATGCTGCACAAGCATGTGCACATGGTAGTTGGTCAAGATCAAATTCTCGGCATGTGCAACACTTCCCCTCTAAATTTACAACTTCAATACAACTTCCATCGTACACATGAAATGAGTATGTCTCAATAGGAGAAACCTGTATATTCAAGAAAAATGAAATACATTATAAATACTCCCCAACCATTTTATTGGAAAACTTTTCAACAAATCTGTTCCTTAAACAAAAGAACAAATGAATTTAATAATTTCTTTAAAATTAAATACTTGCAACAACGGAAAAAAAAATGAATTCAAAATACCTGCAATGATAATCCTTTTTGGTTATTTTCTCGCACCAATTTGTCAGCCCATTCCGTCAAATGTGAATCCATTTTGGCTGCCTCAGTTCGACGCTTATGAAACCAATTTTGAAGTATATTCATTCTTATATACTCCATAAAATTGGTGATAGGCAACTTTCGAGCATCTCTAGTGATTGAATTGAGACATTCAGCAATATTTGTTGTCATTACGTTGTACCGCTTCCCATTAAAGTACGCACCAGCCCACTTTTCATATCCAGCTGCATGAAGATAATTACCCACATGAGGGTCAACATTAAATATTTGCACCATATGACGATCAAATTCGGGAATACGATATGCCTTAGCAGCTCTAAAATAAAGCGAATGCGCTCTTTCATGCTTAAAGTGGTTCTTAAGGTTTTGGCTTATATGGAATATGCATGCCCCATGATGAGCATCAGGAAATATAGTGGAGATAGCCTTCTGAATGCTTTCATGTCTATCAGAAATGAAAACTAAGTCATCGATATGCCCAATAGCTCCCCGTAATTTTGTCAAAAACCAATTCCATGATGCATCATTCTCTGAATCTCCAACTCCAAATGCTAGAGGTTATATTTGATTATTTCCATCCTTGCATGTGGCAACAAACAACGTTCCAAGATATTTACCTTTTAAAAATGTTCCATCAAGTGCTATTACTGGCCTGATAACACTGTGAAATCCTCTGATGCAAGGTCCAAGTGACATAAAAAAAATACATAAAATGATTATTACTGTCAGTTTCAATATGCGTTATCGTACCAGGATTTTTGGCTTCTAGCATAGCACAATATGATGGGAGTCTCATGTAAGATTCCTCTGCTGATCCCCTAACCAACTCCAATGCATGTTCCCTAGCTCTCCAAGCCTTCACATAGCTTATACTCACACCCATGTCCTTCCGCATATCCTCCATGATGTCATGGGGTCTATGTACTCTTGATACACCCTCATACTTAGACTTTATGCACTGACCAATAAGATAACTACTTGCTTGTCGATGATGGCGATGAATAACATCCAATGAGCAAGTGTGTTTAGTAACATATTTTCTAACCATGAAATATGAGGATTTTCGTACCTTTGATGCACGCAGTTTCCACATGCATCTGTCATCCACACAACCAACTTCAAATCTTTCTTTATTAGATCTCTTCACATTGAACTCAAAATTTTTCTTCATAGCATCGATACCCAACTTTGTTTTTAAATCCTCCTTAGTTTCATACACCTGACCTACAATTATATCTCCACTTGAATTGCGTAGCTCTGTCATGTCTGATCCATGTAGAATGTTTTTATCCTTGTTTGGAGCAGTTGGATTGTTAGAGTTAGGCTCATCACATTGCAAGTTGATAGCTGGCACTTTGTCACATCTCATGTTTTCATCGAAGGCAACATTATCTTGAAAAATATTATCAACCTCTACATATGGCATATCCTCAAATTGCATGTTCTCAGAACGCAACTCATCTACATGTGTTGTATTATTTTCCACTTCATATTCTGAGTCCTCAAATTCTTCGGTTCCCAAGTCATCTTCTGAATCCTTATCTTGCTCATAATCTTCTAAATCACCTTGAGTACCCAAGTTGAGGTTCATTGGCATTGGTTCGAACTCAACTAGTGGAGTTTGTTGATTGCTTCCACTGGCGTAAGAAAATACTTTACGTTTCACTGTAATGCACAATGGAATCTTGTAAGACCTTGAAAGGCTTTCAAAAATAAAAGCTCTTACATCATCATCATCGACTATCTCTGTGGGCCATGCACTTTTCATTGCATCATATATCACTTTCATAGTTACTTCATACTCATTTCGGTCCACATTGGCAATGTCATACACTTTATTCCGGAGTTCCTCAAATGTAATTTTGTCTGAAACAAGTAGTCCTTTACTTTTGCAATTTTTATACATCGAGTTAGCCCACCTCCCACCATAGTTGATCAAAATTGTCAAACTAGACATTTGCCTGAAAAGGTAAGCCAAAAATATTAATTAAAAAAATCATACAGACCAAAGATTGACAATGAAACCAAAAACATTAGCTATAAAACGAAGTAGAAAACATTAGCTATAAAACGAAGTAGAAACCAATAACTAATACTTAATAATATGCAGTATGCAATCTGCAGCATATAAAATCTAGCCTTCCATACCATATAAAAAACTTGGATAAAATTCAGAGAGAACATATTCGTCTGTTCTTGTGTTTGTGGTATGAACGAAGTCAATGGAAACAAGAAGGAAGAAAAGAAGGCATTTCTTAAATAAGCAACAGGACAATAGTCTACAACAAGGAACATATGCATAACTGGATGCAAATTCAAAGGCCTTAAGAGTAATTCCACATTCTCTGATAACACTGTGAAATCCTCTGATGCAAGGTCCAAGTGACATAAAAAAATACATAAAATGATTATTACTGTCAGTTTCAATATGCGTTATCGTACTAGGATTTTTGGCTTCTAGCATAGCACAATATGATGGGAGTCTCATGTAAGATTCCTCTGATGATCCCCTAACCAACTCCAATGCATGTTCCCTAGCTCTCCAAGCCTTCACATAGCTTATACTCACACCCATGTCCTTCCGCATATCCTCCATGATGTCATGGGGTCTATGTACTCTTGATACACCCTCATACTTAGACTTTATGCACTGACCAATAAGATAACTACTTGCTTGTCGATGATGGCGATGAATAACATCCAATGAGCAAGTGTGTTTAGTAACATATTTTCTAACCATGAAATATGAGGATTTTCGTACCTTTGATGCACGCAGTTTCCACATGCATCTGTCATCCACACAACCAACTTCAAATCTTTCTTTATTAGATCTCTTCACATTGAACTCAAAATTTTTCTTCATAGCATCGATACCCAACTTTGTTTTTAAATCCTCCTTAGTTTCATACACCTGACCTACAATTATATCTCCACTTGAATTGCGTAGCTCTGTCATGTCTGATCCATGCAGAATGTTTTTATCCTTGTTTGGAGCAGTTGGATTGTTAGAGTTAGGCTCATCACATTGCAAGTTGATAGCTGGCACTTTGTCACATCTCATGTTTTCATCGAAGGCAACATTATCTTGAAAAATATTATCAACCTCTACATATGGCATATCCTCAAATTGCATGTTCTCAGAACGCAACTCATCTACATGTGTTGTATTATTTTCCACTTCATATTCTGAGTCCTCAAATTCTTCGGTTCCCAAGTCATCTTCTGAATCCTTATCTTGCTCATAATCTTCTAAATCACCTTGAGTACCCAAGTTGAGGTTCATTGGCATTGGTTCGACCTCAACTAGTGGAGTTTGTTGATTGCTTCCACTGGCGTAAGAAAATACTTTACGTTTCACTGTAATGCACAATGGAATCTTGTAAGACCTTGAAAGGCTTCCAAAAGTAAAAGCTCTTACATCATCATCATCGACTATCTCTGTTGGCCATGCACTTTTCATTGCATCATATATCACTTTCATAGTTACTTCATACTCATTTCGGTCCACATTGGCAATGTCATACACTTTATTCCGGAGTTCCTCAAATGTAATTTTGTCTGAAACAAGTAGTCCTTTACTTTTGCAATTTTTATACATCGAGTTAGCCCACCTCCCACCATAGTTGATCAAAATTGTCAAACTAGACATTTGCCTGAAAAGGTAAGCCAAAAATATTAATTAAAAAAATCATACAGACCAAAGATTGACAATGAAACCAAAAACATTAGCTATAAAACGAAGTAGAAAACATTAGCTATAAAACGAAGTAGAAACCAATAACTAATACTTAATAATATGCAGTATGCAATTTGCAGCATATAAAATCTAGCCTTCCATACCATATAAAAAACTTGGATAAAATTCAGAGAGAACATATTCGTCTGTTCTTGTGTTTGTGGTATGAACGAAGTCAATGGAAACAAGAAGGAAGAAAAGAAGGCATTTCTTAAATAAGCAACAGGACAATAGCCTACAACAAGGAACATATGCATAACTGGATGCAAATTCAAAGGCCTTAAGAGTAATTCCACATTCTGTGTGCAGTAAATAAAATTTAAGATTCAACATCACTGACAAAATAATGGAATCATATGTGCAGGTCGTAATAATAGCTCTGTAAATTGATGTATTCTAACTCTGTAAACTGGCTTTCTCCTAGCACTCAAAAGTAAAAGGCAAGAACTTTAATATTTGAAACAGAAAAATTACAAAACTTAATGGATACCAAATACATCATCATCATCGACTATCTTTAGTAGTGCATAACATGTTGGTCTCTTTTTTGGTGTTTTGCATCAGCATCCACAATCATGTTTTCTCAAGGTCCATGCTGATGAACTAATAACATCAGCACGCGATTACATCTTCTGCTACACATATGTCAGAATCATCATATTACCAAACTCGTTAATTTTCCAAGCCTATCTACACTAACCTTAAGTCAGCAAAACCAGAATTGAAATTTTATAAATATAGTATGAAGATTAAATGAAGAAACGAAAAAGAAATTGAACGAAGAAACGAAGAAGAAATTGAACGAAGAACCAAGGAATAATTGCACTCACCGTTTGACTATGGCAGCAATACGTCTACGAACAAACTCTACGTGCGAAGATTCCCAATCTAATAGGGTTTTCTTTTTTAGGTTTATGTGGGTTTTAAATTTGAGGGCAATTGTGTCTATTTAGGTGAGTTTTCTGCTATTTTTGAAATTTTTTATAAAAACTGACATTTTTGAAATTGGGGGTCAAGTTTTGGCTATTTTTGATAAATTCTCATAATAAATGTTGTTGATATGTACTCCTGTTGGCCTCACAACCTCCCAAAGCAAGGCCCCACGTGCTCCATAAAGGTAATATAATAGATTGTTTATTATAAAGGTAAATGATAATTTCCTCTTTGTCTTGCTCCATTTTGTCTGTTGCAATTCATTGTTTTCTTATAAATTGTTTTTTTTAATTCATGAAAACCTTTAAATTGTTTATTGGAGATTAAAGATACAAATATAAGCATGAGGTTCTGGTTTTTTCTCTGTAATTCTTTTTCTGCTATAATCTTTCTTCGCATAAGTTTCATAATTTCTATGCTCACTAACCAAAAACAAAACAAAGAATATAAGTTGTCTTCTCTATGGGAGGGCGCCGCCATTTGTTGGTGGTTGATTTTAGGTCCAAATGTATTAAAATTTCAGTGCATTCAAAAATAAAAACTCATCCCAAAGAGTATAGACAAGAATTTCATGAACGAATATCAAGCACAATACATCCTAAAACTCCTACACCGCAGACACTGTGTCATTAATCGTCTTTAGTGATTTGTCTAACTCAAGGCAATATGTATTTTAGTTTTTTTTTTGGTAAAAAGGCAATATGTATTTTGATTCTTATGGATGTTTGTAAATATTTCTAGTTATGGGATATGAGAAAAGATTTGTTATACATCTAAACTATCATATAATCTTAGAACAGGATGTAACAAAAGGAAAAGGAAAGAAGAGACTGCACTACAGTTTCTGGTAAAAAACTGTAACAAACGGAAATTGCAGTGCAGTTTATAATAAAAAATCTGCTCAAAAAATGTGAAAATAAACTAAAATCCAAAGCCATGATCAAAGTATTAAAACTAAGTTCAAAACAAATTTAAGTAGGCCATCAGTTGTAACATTCCAACAAACTTGCAAAAATTATTTTGAAATCGAACTATGAAACAAAAGAAAAACTGCACTGTAGTTTTTGGTCAAAAACTGCAACAAACGGAAATTGCTATGCAGTTTATGAAAAAACATATGCTCAAAAAATGTGAAAAGAAACCAAAAGGCAAAGCCATGATCAAAGTACTAAAACTAAGTTCAAAACAAATTTAAGTAGGCCAGCAGTTGTAACATTCCAACAGACTTGCAAATATTATTTTGAAATCGAACTATGAAACAAAAAAACTGCACAGCAGTTTCTGGTCAAAAACTACAACAAACGAAAATTGCAGTGCAGTTTATGAAAAAACATCTGCTAAAAAAATGTGAAAAGAAACCAAAAGGCAAAGCCATGATCAAAGTACTAAAACTAATATCAAAACACATTTAAGTTCATGAGCAGTTGCAACATTCCCATAGACTTGCAAAAACTATTCTAAAATCGAATTATGAAACAAGAAACTGCTGCAATTTCTGGTCAAAAACTGTAACAAACGAAAACTGCAGTGCAGTTTATGAAACAAAATCTGCTCAAATGTGAAGACAAGCATTTAATGGCAGTTAAAAATGAATATCCATTGATGAAACAATTGTATAATTTTCATTAACTTAAAAAAAGAATCATAATATCCAATTAGAAGTTGTGTAGCCAATTAAAAGTAACTAAAAACTGCAATGCAGAAACTGACTATACATTCATGTCAACTGAGAAGGAATGTTCACATCACCGCCTTGCAAGTCTTCCTGTTGTGCCCAACAACACTACACCGGCTGCATTTCAATGGCCATATAACTTCACCAAAAGCTTTGATTATCTTCGTTGGTGGTCTTTCGGCTGGCCTTTTTGTAATTGGCAGAAGCACAACTCCAGCAACTAAACCGTTGCTGCCCAAGCCTTTGCTAATATCTGGAATAGGAAAAATAGGACTCTCATAGGCTTTTCGAAAGAAGTAAGAACTGTAGTAACACTCAACGTAATCACAAACCGAATCTTTCTTTGCTAGAATTGCAGCCACGGCATGCGTACAAGGAAAATCATCAATTTGCCAAAGACGGCAAGAACACGTCCTTTGCCCTAGATCAACCATCACATAATAATCAACAAATACTTCAAAAATAATGCAACTAGAACGACGAATTGCCCAAGTCCTACCAGCCTCCACGTTTTCCCACAGTCTAGTTTCCATCTCTGGACACAAAAGTGTTGTCCACTTCTCCGGTTCAATTCGTCGTTGAGAATTCAATACCATTAATTTCTGTCGAATCCCTTCTATCAAAGGTAACACCGGCAAATCTCGAAATACACCAACCCAATTATTAAATGACTCGGCTAAACTGTTTGCCATCTCCTCGTAACACATTCCTTTGAAAAAATCGTTGGCATAGTGATCTCTAGACAAATCATATATAAATGTCTTCACTTTCGAACTCCCAACAATTACCAACTCATCCATTGCTACTTTAAACTCTTCCTCCGTAACAGCATATGCGCATCTACTAAATAGATTGATAACACGGCCTTGGAGCAGTTTCCCATAGCCTGACTTCGAGTACTTCGATATCAAATTCTGTTTGAGGTGATAGTAGCAGTAAGAATGAGGCCTTCCAGGAAACACAACCCCCAAAGCATTTAACAAACCTTGATTGAGGTCCGAGAAGAAAGTCACCATTCTCCTAATCGGTAGCAATATAGCAGCCAAATGCTGAAGAAACCAAGTCCAATTGTAATACTCCGAAAAATTCAAGGTGGATTTTCATATTTTAGTGAAAAGTAATATCATGGTGGAGAATGATTATGGGTATTTTATCAAGTGATTTTGGATTGAGATTATTAAATTAAGTGTGTTTAATTTCAAGTTGGACAAACATGACCTAATTTCAAGTTGGACAAACATGACCAAAATACCCCTATGTGTGGATAATTAACAAAACACCCTTGTATGCAAAGAAAAAAGTGAAACATGGAGGACATCAAACCACCCTCCTCCCATTCTTCCCCCCTTGCCTCAAGCCACCATTTATGAAAGGATGAGTCACCTAGTCTAAAATGGTGAGTCACCTAACCTAATTAAGATTCTTAAATCATGAAATTATTCTCTTCCTTCCCATTCATTGTATCATCACTCTCTTCTAACTTGATGACTCACCTAGCCTAAGGCTCTTCAATCATGAATTTACTCTTATCCTCATCATTCATTGTATCATCCCTTTCTTCCTCATTCACCTTAGTTTCATCCTTATTCTTCTTTTGTTCCTCTTCAAAATCCAAATTTGTCATTTCGTTGGAGCAGCCGAGAACTCAAATTTCAGAAGCTCAAATGAGAAAACTTTAGTCATAAAAGTTGTTCATTTACGTGATACCTATAACATACTCAAATTTCAGCTCAATTTGACTAGTATAGGCTCTGAAACGTTGGTATGATCACAATAAGTTTACAATTTCCTGATTTCACAGCAATATGCTCGGTTTCAATATGTTTATGTGATTTCCTGTACTCACATGACTTTGGTTCCTTCATCAAAGTTGTTTGAAATGCTGTCTATTATAACATATCAAAATTTTAGATTGATCGGACTTCTATAGCCACCTTGGGAACGTTTAGAGTTGAACTTGTTTATAGTCTTCGACCTTAGTTCCTTCCCTCGTTTTCAATCCAAAATACTTAGGGGTGGGCACGGTCCGGTTCGGCCCGGTTCTCTCTTAAACTCGAAATTGGAACCGATACTGTTCATCTAATCCAGTCGGTCTGGTTTTTCATTAAAACACCTTATAGAACCGGACCAACCCGAACCTATTTATATCCGGTTCGGTTTTTGGTTTTCCAGTTCGGACCGGCTCTTAAGCCCTTTTTTCTTTGTTGGAATTTTAAAGAGATTTAAGCCCAATTGAATTTTAAAAAAATTTTGGGCTTACAAATTCACAATTAGCCTAGTTCCCTTCCAATTGTCCCAAACGAAATTTAGCAAACATTAAATTTAAAATTACAACCCAATAACAAAACAAAAACACATATAGCAAATAAAATTACAGAAATAACATTCAAACTATTCCATCTTCCAGTGAAAACAAAAAAATGCTCCATCTTCCCCTTGTTCCTTCTCGAAGGTCTCTTCGCAACACGAAGAGGCATTTTCTTCAAACCTTCTCTATTAAGATCCTCTCCCAGCCCCCTGCATGTAGAAAAAGAGAATTCATGTGCAAAAAGGCAGACAAAAATGAATAACAGATGACAAGAGAAAACATAAACAAATAACAAGTGTTGTGGTAATCGTTGTGAGAATTGTTACATAAACAAAAACATAACTATATATGATTTTTATGCATAAAGAAAGTCAAAAAGGTATGGACAACCAACATGGCCTATGATATGCTTTACAACCAAAAAAAAAGAAGACGTCATCAACAACAAGCAGCAATTCACTAAATTGCAGATCTTTCATGAATATAAAAAATGCCTATTAAAATAAAGAATTTACACATATCACCGGTCAAAATTAACCAAAAAACAATTCAAAGTTTGCAACTTTAGTAGTAAAAGAGAGAAAGGAAACCTGGGTCATGGCCCTTTAGAGCAAAAGAGAAGTGGATGCTACAGCGCCTCCTATAGCACGCACAAGCTCTCCCTACACAAACAAAAACAACCCATTGCACCAAAACCAATTCCAAGTCCAAAAATCCACATAAATCAAAAATTGTACACTACTAAACAAGGAAAATACCTTGAGCTTTGCCTAGTTGAGCGTTCTCGTCATAGAGAGAGAGAGAGAGAGAGAGGAGGAAGAGGTGTTTGTGCCTAATAAATCACGGTCGTAAACTGACCGAAGGGGCTTCCTATCGGCCCTAGCACCTATTCATGAGCTGGAGCGTGGCATTTCGTCAGGCGTTTTGCCTTCCTAAAGACAAAGGAAAAGCTGCGAAGGGGGAATCCTCTCGGCCTCGAGACCGCGGCATTATTGGCCGAGGCTGAAGGACGAAAGAGACACGGCCGAAGATATTAGAGTCAAATCGCCACGTGGCAGCAGGGTCCCACGCCTCATTCAATGAAGTAACGCCTCTGACTAGCAAACCCACTAGCAGCAAAAAAGCATTTAATGCACGAGGGAAGAAGGGAAGTGACTAAAGTCAGGATTTGGTGATAGAAATCAGAGTGGTTAGGCGCAAACGTTCTTACAAATATTCTTACAACTTAAGGTCAGATCACCAACCACCAGACCAGGGCATTAAATGCGTTCCCACGGCCAAGGGCGCAGAACCCACGATTAGGGCGGAGGCCGAGATTTACCAAGATTTATGGGGTCACACCACCATGCTTCACGATCCCAAATGTCGATTGGACTATCCACTTGCTCTAGTCAGGCTCCACCATGCAGATTTTCAGCCTCGATTACTCCTCCAGAGCTCTTCCTATAAATACCAAGCTCAAGCTACATTCAAAGGGTTCAAATACCAAACCAAAAGCCTCTCACGGAGCAAATTTTATTTTCCTGTAATGCACTTTCAATACCTTTACTTGCTTTCTTAGGATTAGTGATAGATTGTAAGGAAAATCCATTCATCAATATATCATACGACCGTCGCTCTCCGAGCAACGCGCCGGAGCATTGCCCAAAACCCACCATCAACACCACCACTAAACGGCCTTATAGCTCAGGCCGTGAACCTGACGGCCGAGATCAGTTCCTCTCTCGGCCACAGTCGTTTGATTAGGAGTCAAACTTAAACAGGCGCACCAATTAACCATTGTATCCAAACACATCACCATCTCGACGCACGGTAGACCGTGCTGGCACGCCCGCGCACAACCGCACCGCACCCAAAAGAAGGACGTCACGTGTTGACGCATATCCCCTCGGCCCGGAGCACCAGGCCGTGAGATTTGCGCAGCCAACAAGAGGGAATAGAGAAAGGGCGGCTGAGAAAATAATGAAGGGTAGAAGAGATGAGAAGAGATCTGAGTTAGGGTTAGCAACTAAAAGATAAATAGGGTGAGGTTATGTGCAGCCCTTTCTATATAAAGAATGTAGAATCGATGCACCAACCAATCATAATATGGTATATTTAAATAATTTTTAAAAATTATATATTTAATAAATAACCAGTCCGGTCTAATCCGATTTTTTAAAACAGCAAATCGAAACTGGAATCGGGTTGAACCGATCTGGTCTGATTTTTGGTCAACTAAGTCCGGTTTTGGTCAACACGATTTTTTTTCAATTTTTTCCAATTTGGTTCAGCTCGGTTCTTCGGTTTTCCGGTTTAAATGCCCACCCCTAAAAATACTCATTTCAAAGGCTCAAAACACTATGGTTTCTTCATGATAGTTACTCCAAATTCTCCTCTTTATAACATATCCAAAGATCATCCAAACGCAACCATAATAACTCTCCGAAAATTGGTATGAACAAAACTTGTTCAATTGATTATGTTGAATTTCTTGTTATAGATGTGTACTTTCTCTAAAATGGCTTGTTCCTTATCATTCAATTGCTCAAATTAGCCACTATCATCTCAAGTAAATGATTCTTTGAAGGCATGAAGCTCATTTTTTTATTGTCTCTTTGAGTACTAGTTATAAACCAAGGGTTGGTTAGAGTGCCTCAAGGATATATATATCTTTCGAAGTGTGTTTTAGTGAAGTTCTAGATTATTTCGATGTGATTTCGTTCCAATTTCATTATGGGATTTTGTTACATCAAAATGAAAATCTCAAGGGTTATTTCAAAGTTGGTTTTGTGCCATTTGAATTTAAATTGATTTTTGTGAAATTTCAAAGTAGAGACTATCCTGCAGGAATTGTTTTGATTCTGCTGCATACCCTGTTTTGAATAAGTGTTTGAAAACTTCCTAAACTTGGATTTTCATGAAATTTTAGTATGTAAAAAAAAGAAAAAAAAAAAAAAAGAACGTTATGCAGCCTAGTCTGTTTTGGTTTCTATTTTGACATGCTTCCTTAACCCTAATTTTTATCAAATTTTGACATCTTTAATGTTTCTATGTCTAGTTGTGATCTGGAAAGTTTTACATTATTTTGATTTGAACTCAATATTTAGTGAATTTTCAAAGTTAACGTGTTCCAAATGGCGCAAGAAATGACACCACAAAAGAATGAAGCTCAAAACCAACGAAAGCCAAGAATCAAAATGATGGCTCAAAAGAGAAAAAAAAAGCCATCCTATGATCGAAAAGCAAAGCACTCGGACTATGTCCAGTTTCGGTGCAGCCTCAATGCTTACAACAGCATCATTACAGATGTTAAACCAAAGCTCAATCAAAGGCAGAAGATGTTGCTCAAGAAAACCCCTTTCTGGAACTTCATTGAGTTGTTTTACCACCAGAAAATTGATATGAATAACATGAATAAGTCGGACCTCGACTTAATACAGCTGCTGAACCAGTTTGATCCAGATTCAAAGTCCTTCAAGTTCGACACAAAATCATTCCACATCACAGGCAATGCAGTGACTCAGATCCTAGGACTGCCAAACAAAGGAGAATATGTCACACTTGGCTATGATAGATACACTGCTGCCTTCAGAACAAGGCACTTTGGACAAAAGGGAAAACCATCAAAAAACCAGGTAGAAGCAGAATTACAAAAAACAATTGCCTTGGCAAACCAGCTGAAGAAAGAAAAGGCTAAGGCAGAGCAAAAGAAGCAAAAGAAGAGAGGAAAACCAAAAAAGGAAGCTGAAGAAAAAGAAGGGGAAGATGAAGAGGAAACGGAGGTTGTTGACTACGACAAGGAGGTGGTCAGCCTAATCTTGATCCTGCTCTGCATGACATTCCTCTTTGCCAACTCTTCATCCACTTTGCACTGGAAAATAGGTGAGCATTGTGTGAATCTAGACACACTTTCAAGATATTCGTGGGCAAGAGCTGTTTCAGCCTACATGAATGAATCCTTGATTGCAAAAGAAAAAGCAAAAGTAAAAAAGGGAGGAGAAGCATCTATAGGAGCTGTTTCGGGTTGCACTACCCTAATATTGGTAAGTAAAGAGTCGCTTATCAATGCATTTTGAGTTTTAGGCAATGCAGTATCCAACATAATTTATGTACTGCAGTTTTATTTTGTGAGAGAATAAACATCATACTGCCAATCCTTGGCAAGGAGGAAGAAAATCCTGCCATTCTTAAATGGAGTCTTATGGAACTCCACACAAGATTCAACCAAATAAAAGACTTAAATGACATCGAGGTATGCAATTTATCGCATGTTCTATTTTAATGTATGTTGAATGTGAATCCATGCTAAATCATTCTCATTGTACAAGGTATTTTCAAAGCCCCAAAAAAGCGAAAAACTACCGGGGAAGAGGGAGACCCTGTGGAGAAGGTAATTAAAATCTGTACACAGTGCATTGCAGTTTCTCTTTTCCATTGCAATTTCTAAACCATTCTTATTGTACAGGGTGATTTGAAAACATATAAAAAGAGAAAAACCACCAAAGAAGAGGGAGACCCTCTTGACAAGGTAATTAGAATCTCTAAACAGTTTCTGTTTTTCCCATTGCGGTTCCTAATTAGTTTCATTTCAATTTGCAGAATTGCCAAATTGAAGATGATGAAGGAAAACAAGGAGAAGCAGAGCCCCCTATACCTCTTGCAATTCAAGACATCTTGGTAAAATCCATGACAGACCAAATCAACTACCGCCAACGCCAAGATCCTAGCTTCGTTTGCCCAAAAAGATTACAACTGTGGAAGGATAAAGACAGTGAGAAGAAGATGACAGAATTGTGGGATATATTTATCCAGGCAGAAAAAAGATCAATTGAGCTGCAAGAGGAGTTGGAGAAACACAAAGACAAATTAGATAATGAAGAATGTATAAGTGCTGCCTTGACAGTTGAATGTACAATTCAGCGTCAAGAAATACTAAATATGAAAAGGAGGATTGCAGAATTAGAAGGCAATGAACCTCACATTGACCACGAGACAAGTGCAAAGAAAATAAAGATTCAAGAAAAATACAAGGACGAACTTGAAAGAATGTTCTCGGACACATCAATCTTTGAAATAGAGAGGGACCTGCCTACAGCACAAGAAACACAACCAGTTAAACAGAAAGAAGAAGAGAAAGAAAAAGAGAAAGCAGAAGAGAAAGAAAAAGAGAAAGAAGAAGAAGAGAAAGAAGAGGGAGAGAAAGAAGAAGAAAAGGAAGAAGAAGACAAAGAAGAAGAGAAGAAGAAAAATGCTCAAACACCTGATGTTCCTTCAAGAATACAAAGGCTGAAGAACAGAGAAAGAAAGAGGCTTCAAGCATCTTGCTATCAGTACGAAAAAGATAAGCAACCAAAAAAGAAGGACGCAAAAAAGGGTGATGAAGAAATGCCACAATTCAAGCTTATCTCTTCTGAGGAGACATCAACACAAGAGGATCCTCTAAATCAAATGGAGGTATACAATTACTGCAGTTCAAGCTTCCTTTTGTTCATGTTTTCTGCGTTGCAGTTTCTAATTAGTTTCCTTTCAATCTGCAGTCAACACAAGAGGCATCTCAGCCTGATGCCACAAAGCCACTTCTTGATTTCCCAAAAGGAACAAACCCTCATGATTCGATACTTGTAGGTATGCAAAACTCAGATGATGAGGCTTTGGCAAAAAAGACACGAAAAAAGCCAACAAAGAAAAAACTAGGATGGGATCAAAAGAAGGTTTGGTAGAAAATCCCAAAAGAGTACAGGGACAAAATTGAAGAATACTACTTAAGTACTCAACCTGGGTAATATCCCTATCCCAAAAGAACAATTCTTTCATCTTTTATTTTCAATTAAACTGAAACTCATCTTGTGAATTTCATGTATTCAAATCCGCAGTGATAACTTTTGGGCAGGACTCCGTTCTGAGAAAGTGACAAACCGCGATATCAAAGATATTGTATGGGACCCGGAACTGTCACAAAACGTAAGTCTAAACTACTAATTCTATAACACACACTGCACTGCAGTATATTACCCATTAACAAGTCCATTTTTCTCCAATCAATGTGAAACAGGTTATTGAGGCCTATATACAAATAGAGGAGGAGAAAATAGGGCCCATGCAGACAGATAGTCCACGATACATGTCCACATGGACTTAGGTAAGAATTATTTTCAAAATTCAAAATTGTTTAAACAGACAGGTTGGCACAAGGCCCTATTTCAAAATTCTTGGGCTCCTCATTATTTTCAAAATTGTTTATACTAACAAATTGCCATTCAATGCTTGCAGTCTTACATGCAAACCTTTCTAGAGCCAGGTTGGCACAGGGCCCTGTTTGAACCGTTGCTTGAAAAACTCGGGAAATGCAATGTGCTTTTCTTCCCAATCATTTCAAGCATCGAGTTCCTTTTTACACTCCTTGCATTTCACAAACATGAACGAAAGTGGAGACACTACAATCCACTGAGGTCGTTGGGAGCAAGAAAAGAAGAAAGATGCGTTGACATTGCTCACAATATGGTAAGTGGAATGAAGCTGTCTTAATTTCTCAGCACAACAAAAACACAAACTGCAATGAAGTTTCTGTGTTATTCCTACAGCCTAATTTCAAACCAAAATTATAATATGCAATGCACGAATTACCCTTTCTTTTGATGTTTTTTTCCTTCTTTAAACAGGTTAATATTGTTGAAGGGTGGCTGGAATATATAAGACCTCAAGCACAAGTGTTCTTAGAAAGTAGAAAAATACCAAAACTTGTGAAGCAAAGGGAAGGGCCCCCTACACCTGTACTCAAGGACATGTCCCCAAATGAAGAACTCACTCTCAATTGGATTCGGCAGAATCCATATCAGTTTCCATTTGAGGAGGACATAGAATGTGCTCAACAAAGTTCATCTTCGTAAGAATTGTTTCTACTCAACTTTTCATTACATTTTGAAATCCTTCAAAACCAAAAACTAATCTCCTATTCATTTGCAGGTTGGATTGTGGCATGTTTGTCATGTTGTACATGGATAAAATTGCACAAGGACAGCCCATTCCACAAAGTGTAGACAAGAATTTCATGAACGAATATTGAGGTCAATACGTACTAAAACTCCTACACCACAGACATTGTGTCATTAATCGTCTCTAGTGATTTACTAAAACTCCTACACCACAGACATTGTGTCATTAATCATCTCTAGTGATTTGTCTTTTGTGAACTCAAGGCAATATGTATCTTGATTGTTGTGGATGTTTGTAAATATTTCTAGTTATGGGATATGAGAAAAGATTTGTTATACATCTAAACTGTCATAATCTTAGAAAAGATTTGTTATACATCTGCTCAAAGCGTAGACAAGAATTTCATGAACGAATATCGAGCACAATACGTACTAAAACTCCTACACCACAGACATTGTGCATCTCAAGGCAATATGTATCTTAATTGTTGTGGATGTTTGTAAATATTTCTAGTTATGGGATATGAGAAAAGATTTGTTATACATCTAAACTGTCATATATGTTTTGGATTGCTCATATTATATGTCTATTATGTTTGATGTTTTGCCTTTTGGATTGCTCCTTTTAAAAGAGGGTTTTCTACATAGATCATTGCATTGCAGAAACACAAACTGCATTGCAGACAAACAAACTGCATTGCAGAAAAACAAATGACAAATGGTGCAACAAATGACACCACAAAAGAATGAAGCTCAAAACCAACGAAAGCTAAGAATCAAAACGATGGCTCAAAATCTAAAAACAAGAATTGAATGGCAGTTAAAAATGAATATCCATTGATGAAACAATTGTATAATTTTCATTAACTTCAAAAAAGAATCATAATATCCAATTACAAATCGTGTAGCCAATTACAAGCAAATAAAAACTGCAATGCAGAAACTGACTATACATTCACTAAATCATATCTAACATAAGCAATTGTCAACTGAGAAGGAATGTTCATATCACTGCCTTGCAAGTCTTCCTATTGTGCCCATCAACACTAATTTCATACATATACATGCGCTATTTACTTACTTCTTTTGCTTAGTTTCTTAGATTTCTAAGTTATTTGCCTCCCTTTGTGTGTTTTGTAGGCAAATAGAGCAAGAGAGCATAATTCATGCAATTCAAGCATGTTAAGGCCTAAATTGGATGAATGGATGAAGAGCTTAAAAGACAAACTCATTTTGGCTACAGCCCCCTGCCAGTCCAGTTCCGTAGGTCATATTGCAAGTTTTGTTTCAGCAACCTACACAGCTCGGATGAGGCAGAATTCTTCATGAAAGTTGTTCCAATGGGTGTGTGCTATAACATATCCGCTTCAATTCGTCGTTGAGAATTCAATACCATTAATTTCTGTCGAATCCCCTCTATCATAGGTAGCACCGGCAAATCACGAAATACGCCAACCCAATTATTAAATGACTCAGCTAAACTATTTGCCATCTCTCCATAACGCATTCCTTGGAAAAAAAAGCTTTGGCGTAGTGATCTCTAGACAATTCAGATATAAATGTCTTCACTTTCGAACTCCCAACAACCACCAACTCGTCCATTGCTACTTTAAACTCTTCCTCCGTAACAGCATATGCACATTTACTAAAGAGATTGACAACACGGTCTTGGAGCAGTTTCCCATAACCTGACTTCGGGTACTTCGATATCAAATTCTGTTTGAGGTGATAGTAGCAGTAAGAATGAGGCCATCCAGGAAACATAGCCCCCATAGCATTTAACAAACCATGATTGCAATCCGAGAAAAAGGTCACCATTCTCCCCATCGGAAGCAATATAGCAGCCAAATGTTGAAGAAACCAAGTCCAATTCTCCTCTGTCTCAGAATCAACAACTCCAAAAGCTAGAGGATAAAACCCTGCAAAACAAAACCAAAAGCACAAGTATAAGCAACAACGAATTACACAAAACAGTAAACATAAACTGCAATGCAGAGTACACAAAATAACAACAAATTACACAAAACAGTAATGCAGATTACACAAAAATCCAATACAGTACAGTAACCATACCTTGATTCCCATTCTTTCCGGAAGCACAAAGAAGTTGCCCCTTGTACTTGCTCTTAAAAAACGTAGCATCAATGAACAACAAGGGTATGCAATATTGAAATCCAGCAATGCAACCACCAAAGGATACAAAAAACCATCTAAAGCGATTAATTCCAGCTTCACATTCAAGCTCTCATAGAGAACCAATGTTAGTTCCATTTACCGCATCCACATACCACACTAACTCGTTGAAGGACTTTGACTCATCACCATGAACGTCCAGTTTAGCTAACTCTTTGCCAAACCATGCGTGGTAGTATGAAATGTCTATACCATAATAATCTTTCAACTCGTGTATAATCTCAATTGGCTTCAGCTCTGGTTTTGCACGAATTCTGTCCACAAAGAGAGAGGACACCACACGAGACCTCATCATCTTACTCTTTGATTCCCGTATCCGACCCACACATGTATGCACATTATTTAACGTCCGAATTACAAAACAGCCGGTAGATTCACAACAAGAAGCATAAACACGCCAACTACAACCCTCCAATTTCTTATTCGAACAAACAACAATCACTCGCTTCTTGTCATTGTCGGCATATAAAAAATTAAATCCTGCTTCAAGAGCATACTTGCACAATTTCAACCGGAACTCCTCTGCACCACCGTCAAACTTCTGCCCTACATGATGTATGTACATCTCCCACTCATTTGACAACAAAGGCTTAGCACTTGCTCTCTTCGACCTGCCCAAAAATTCATTTCTGTCTTCGACAGTACTAGAACACAAAGACTCGCCCTTTTCACATGATATCAACTCCTTATTTGCACAAACATCACCACTATACTCACCGCTCCCCAATAAATCCTTAACTAAAATATTCATAGTCTTCGCATTTGATATCGACAAATATGCCATCATCATATCTAAATCACTATCCGTTTCTAGTAAACAACTAGAATAACCGGGCAGCGAATACCATAACGTGAAACTACCCAACTGCAAACCCCTAAACCTTAGACACAAAGTCTTCGAAACATCAACCATGGATGATTTTTCTGAAACTGAAAACATGATGGTTTCGGACTTATATGTGCACTTGGAAATGACACAAACCTCCATTAGCCTTGAAATTGGATACAAAACAAGAAACAAAAACATAAAACAATTCAAATCAGTAAATAATGTAGATGAGCATTTGTAATATTCCCATATACTTGCAAATATTAGTCTGAAATCGAATTATAAAACAAATGGTTCTCCAATGCAGTTTATGAAACCATAAACTGCAATGCAGAAAAACTGCAACAAACAGATGCAGTTCATGACAGAAAATAAAAAAATTCAAATAGAAACCAAAAGGAAACCAAGATCAAAGTACTAAAACTGAAGTCCAAAAACATATAAGTCGATATAAACGAAAAAAGGTTCAAAAGTACTTATACCTCAACACCTAGGACTGCCAATAATCAACCCAACCAAACAGCAGCTCAAAATCAAATCTGATCACAAAACGAAGAATATAGGGTTTAGGATGCAAATCGAACGACAATGTAGCAGAAAATCACGCCACAAAACTGAGCTCGAAATACCCGAACTAAGGAGAACATATATCGCCCAAAACTGAACTTTATTCCGCATGCAAATCGAAAGAAAACCAGAAAAACACAGAAAATTGTAGAAAATCGAAGGAAAACAAACCAGAAAATCGAAGCTCCCTTCGCAGAACCAGAACCAGAGCTCCAAAACCTCAAAGCCGAACGAAAACGAAAGAGAAGGTATTGCGCGTAGTTTAAACGTCCAAGGGTAAAAGCGCCATTTGATTTGTAGGTTTAAAGATGGGCCAGGCTTTTTAAGAAGAAGGGTACAATTGTATTTTCAGGTTTTAGTTTTAAGCTGGCCCAACAAATCTGGGCCTACTCTTTGGGCTAATCCAAAATACCAATTCTTTTATGAGGATTAAAACTCAAACCAAAATACCTAATGTCTCAAATCCAAATTACTAAAGTTAATTATGTATGATTCCTAATTTTTCTGGTAAATATTCAGTTATGCTAAGATACGTTCATATTATTATTCTTCTCCAATATGGAGGTATTTATACAAGTACAAAGATGTGTTAACCCTAAATAAAATAGGAAATATATCTAAATTAAAATATGAAGTAAATCTCTATTACAATAGGACTAAATAATAATTGGTAAGTAACCAAAATTCTAATGAAATAAGGAACCAAAATCCTAACTAAGTAAGGACTCGCCAACACTCCCCCTCAAGTTGGGCAAAGATATTTCGCACGCCCAACTTGACAAGCGAGTCACAGAACACCATACTTGAGAAGCACCAATTGTAGAGAAGGCCTTTTCATCAACCACGAGTGAAACAAGTGACAAACTAAAGCAAAGTTCGCAGCGAAAACACACGAGCAAACCCTAAAAAATAGGGCACATAGCAGAACACAGAAACCTTGTGAGCACGGCAGCAGATAAGGCAGAACACAGAAACCCTGTGAGCACTGCAATAAGTAAGGCAGAACACAGAAACCCTGTGAGCACGGCAGTAGATAAGGCAGAACACAGAAGCCCTGTGAACACAGCAAAAGCAAAGGCAACCAAGGACTCGCCAACATTATTTTCTCAAAACTTCACATATTAGTCGCATGATCAATTATCATAATAAGGAAGTTGAGGACGTAAAGTAAACCTAGGCTTAGTAGTCTATGTCTACATGTTGCTGTTTTTTGATAGGATCCCGAGGGCTCTTTAGTCTTTTGAAATTTGGCCAGTTGTCATTATATGACTAGTTATGTTAAGAGATATGTACATTGGGTAAAGGTTGAACAGGGTTTCAACACTTTTACGTAATATATGGGAAATTTTATGACGTATTATCATCGTTTATTGTAATAAACTCTGCAAACTCATGAAGCTCCCAATCTTTGAGGAATTATTTGAAACCCTAGAGTCAGATTCAAGTTTCAACAAGATAGATAAGTCTAAATATTTGTTTTCGGCTTTTCCAATAGACAATTTTATTGCTGCACATTCAAGAATAACATCTAAACAAGCTGAAGACAAAATAATCTCAGTTTTTCTGCTCTTCAAACTCGATGTGAGTTTTATTTTGAGTTTTTTTATGTTATTGTACTGGGTGTGCGAACTTTGTTCTAGACTTGGTTTGAGTTTAGATGTTCTTTTCCGGTTGTGTTACGGTTCTATTGTGCCATTGGTTTGTGCTTTGCACACTCCCCTATTTGGCGTTTTAATGAAATGAGATATGATTTCGACCCAAAAAAAAAACAAACTCGATGTGAATGCCATCCCCAAATCCTAACATGGGATTTCGAGCAATGCGTGCCCCTTTGATCGTTGTCCACCTATTAACAGAAATTCAAACGATGGTTGGTTAAGATCTGTCAAGAACTGCATACACAATTTTTGAAACTTGAGATCCAAATGAGATAAAACAAGAGGGCAAAGAAATGTGTTAAGTTTCTGATGTGGAACTGTGTGTATTCTTCAACACTCCACCACATGTGAGACCACTTTTTAGTGGGCCACACGTACAACTAATTTCACATCGGTCACTTTTTTATATATATTTTTTATATTATTTTAATTTGGGGTTTTGTTTGATTTGGGTTTAATCGGGCCAAGTCAACCGACCTGCTTTGATACCATGTTAAGATTTTAGAGAGACAGACCCTTGGCCCACCACTAGCAACATCGATATTGTCCCCAACTTAACCACCAATTTAGCATGTGTGGGGTTTCATTACATGGGACTTTCTATTTTCAACTTTCCAACGGCTTTTTACATTCACATTCTCACACAACCCCACAAGTGTGATGAATTTTCAAGCCTATCACGTGGACAACACATATTGGGTGACGTGGAGCACGTGTGACCGTTAGGCTTTCACACGTGGACTAACTTGGCTCTAATATCATGAAGGAAGTTGAGGTTCCCCCCATTGCCAATTGGTTTTGGGGTGGAACCTCAATTTCCTTCATGGTATCGGAAAATTCACCATTCTTTTGATCTTCATCTCATTGATTTGTTTGTTGGTTGAGAGATTTTTCATAATTTGTAGAGCATTGGTATGAGAAATCTTCCATCTTTGTTAAAAATCAAACCTAGGACCTCTGGAGTAAATACTCGTATTCAACCAATGAATATGAACAATAATAATATTGGTCCAATCCAAGGTATTTTAACGTATTAAAAAAATTTACAAATTTTACGCAGATTTATTAATACTTTCATATTGTGGATTCCTTAGTATGCATTGGCAGTTAAAAAAGGTAAACTTAAAATTTGTTATTTATTAAATCAAAAGAAACAAGGAGGCTGAATCCCCAAACAACCAGATAGAACAACTCATTTAGAACAACTCGTAGTTAATATTTGATAACTAGAAGGCCTTTTTAGTGCACAACCCTCAATTATTCCAACTTCTTATATAGATTTTCCTGTTTTTGGGCTAATTCATAACTTAATTGCACGTTATTTTTAATTATAGGTACATCTAGACAAGTGCTCGATCATTTCCCATAAACAGAATTTGAAAAGTATCTCAGTTTTTCTTCTCCGAGAGCTTAATGTGAATGCTTGCCCCAAATCCTAACACATGCGTTCGAGCAATGGGTCCCGCTTTGATCCTTTTCCAGCTATGAACAAAAAAGTTAAAATCCAAAAGATGATTAAGCTCTATCAAAAACCTTGTAGGCACACAGTATATTTGTAACTTGTGGTGAGAAAATGAGATAAAAAATAAGAGGGGAATGGTGAAATGTACGTACCTATATTTGGTGACCATGACATGGAGAAAGGTGGCCAAGAACACCCTACTATACTCTGCCCCTGCGCATTGTCTCGATCCTCGACCAAACGGCATGAAGTTCTTCGATATAACAAGGGAGTCAAGGTCCTAGTTTCCATAAAATATTTACACACACACATATATATATATATGTGCGTATAAACAAAATTAGCTTATTTTGGAAAAATGGCAATATTACTCTCAAGTTACAACATCAAACCCCTCCCTTCCTCCCCACGAAAACGCACCTTCCAACGCCACGGATTGAACTCGAGGGGATCCTTGAATGTGTTGGGACTTAGTTGAAGTGCAGAGGTGAGAGCCACAATCGTCCAACCTGCTGGAATTGTAAATCCTGCAAAGCATGTACTTCAACATTTTAGTGAAAAAAACATTGGCAGTTAGAAACTAAAGGCCTAAGCTATTTGTAACCAAGGACGTACCCTTTACTGGGATATCTTTCAAAGCTCTGCGTAGCAATGCAGGTGCAACATTTCCCAGTCTAAGAGTTTCATTGATAACCTATGTTTTCCAAAGACCAGCAAGTTAATAAGACTTTTTCCATAGTAAAGTGTGAGTAGAAACAACATGTTGCGCTTGTGTACTTTGTAGAACTAATTACCTGACGAGTGAAAGTCATCGATTTATATTCGTCCCATGTGAGTGAGGAATTTGCATTTTCTCTGTTTTTGAGAAGTGCCTCATTCTCAGCCTTGACGACAAAAGATATTTCATTATTTGTGACATATGTAGAAAATTAAAGAACTTGTTAAATTGATGCGTAAACTTGTCTCAGCGCCCAAGTGATTCAATGCAATGCTCCTTATGTACTTGTGAACGATCTCGGCTGCACTTATGTCGTCAGCAACCTTGAAGATCTTGGTAAATGAGTCCAAGTACCGTAGTTCAACTAGCTTGCCTTCTTGTTGAAAGAGGTAACTATTGAATTTGGGATCGGCTGAGACTACAATTGGTTTACCAGCCAAGCTAGTTGAACTATGGTACTTGGACTCATTTACCAAGATGATCTTGGTAAATGAGTCCAAGTACCATAGTTCAACGAGCTTGCCTTCTTGTTGAAAGAGGTAACTATTGAATTTGGGATCGGCTGAGACTACAATTGGTTTACCAGCCAAGCTAGTTGAACTATGGTACTTGGACTCATTTACCAAGATGATCTTGGTAAATGAGTCCAAGTACCATAGTTCAACGAGCTTGCCTTCTTGTTGAAAGAGGTAACTATTGAATTTGGGATCGGCTGAGACTACAATTGGTTTACCAGCCAAGCTAGTTGAACTATGGTACTTGGACTCATTTACCAAGATGATCTTGGTAAATGAGTCCAAGTACCATAGTTCAACGAGCTTGCCTTCTTGTTGAAAGAGGTAACTATTGAATTTGGGATCGGCTGAGACTACAATTGGTTTACCAGCCAAGCTAGTTGAACTATGGTACTTGGACTCATTTACCAAGATGATCTTGGTAAATGAGTCCAAGTACCATAGTTCAACGAGCTTGCCTTCTTGTTGAAAGAGGTAACTATTGAATTCGGGATCGACTGAGACTACAATTGGTCTACCAGCCAAACTAGTCCGAAATATTGGGCCATATCTGCAAGGCAGAGAAGAATTTAAGCGAGAAATGAAACTAGAATTTCTTATGGTAAATTGAGTAGCCATAGTTTATTTACTTACTTTTGAAGTCTCTTCTTATAGAAAGGATGAAGATCAAGGGAATAGCTCTTAGTCATCGCATTGAGAGTCTCTCCAACGAGAGGCCAGCCCATAGAACCTGGAGGGAGAACCCCATTGCACTTTGGATTTCTCCATTGTGTAATCCAGTGAGTAATGTATGTCACTAGCAAAACTACTAAACTCAATCCAACAACAGCCCACATTTTCAGATCAGAGAAAGAATTGTAGTCTTGTTGGTAAACCTCCCTTCTCTTTATAGATATATCATGTATCTCACTGCAAAAGAGGCCATCTTTGGAGATGGTGCTGTTGGTCTTAAATGTATTAAAGTCTCTGTGCGTGGCAAATCTACTTACCTAACCCTAAAAAGCTTGTATCTTAACATTAAAATCTATCTAGTTGCAGTAGGTTTCTACTCTTTTTTTGGGTCAAGTTTCTGCATTGGTAGCAGCATTAATACTTAGTTAGGGGCATTAAAACACAATTTAGGTATTTTAAGCTAGGTTTCTAGAATTCCATCTAGATAAGTATTCTATACGTGCATCAAAATTTTTAATCTTGCTCATCAATCCACGGGACCACGGCGTATAAACATAAATCACTACACAGAGTCAACTCATCAACACTGATTTATTTTGTAAGTCTATTATAAGTTTGTTAGAACCTCATGTTTAGTTAGGTTATGGGAGGTGTAGCCTTCTTGCATTCTAGCTCAATATGAAATACATTTTTTATTTATTTATTTATTTTGAAAAGAAAATTCAGATAATTTTATTGCTCAAGAAATACCATTCTCATCGTTAATTAGGAGTTTCTAGTCACTAAATCGATGCTCGAAATTTGTCTACGTACAGTCAACTCCTGCAAAACTGAAGAATACTTTGCTAGTAAACTGAAAGCTAAAGCCAGTACTGGTGAAATAGACTCAAACGTAGCAAATAAGCCCCCAAATATCAGCGGCAGTGCAAAATCCTCTGTTATTAAAGTATTAGGAGGGCGCCGCCATTAGTTGGTGGCTGATTTTAGGTCCAAATGTATTAAAATTTCAGTGCATTCAAAATTCTATTTACATAGGCACACGCTAAATTTTTATTTTATTTTTTGGTCAAAGTTAGGAAGGAGAATGGAGGGGGGAAACTCATACACATAGGTATTTCGGACTTGAATCCAAGATCACTTGGGAGCACACTAAATGTTTGGGCCAATCCAACTAACACCCCCTTAAAAAAATCTATTTTAGTGTATTAAAAATCATACTTAGATACCCCGTCAAAAAAAATTCATACTTAGGTACATTAAAACTTAGCAGGGGCATTCAAATTAAAATTCTATTTAATATGTAGGAAGACTCTAGCTGTTTATTTTAAATTGGTCCCCATTTTTTCAAGCAAATATAAGGCCCAAAATTTCTTCACATTAAGGATCACAAAAATTACATTAATGCCACATGTTCCCAACGCTGCTTGTTAAAATGAAATTATGATTTATTCCGTTTCAAACTTTTAAGATTGGGGTTCTTCAATTTTTCGAAAACTTTTTCTTTTTATTAACTGATTTTGTTAACACAATTTTTTTTTTATAAAAAACTTAAGAAGCCAACCTCTTCAAAAATAAAAACCTCATATGCCAATAGGTAATACACAAAGTAATGTGTATGGTTTTTTCATTTTTTGATATAACCGATCGTCAGGATAGGAGCACAGCCGGATCTAAGTGTGGGCTGGAGTGGGCTTCAACCAAGTGCTGACTTTTTAGAATATACAACTTAGGCTAAGTTGTCCAAGCCCAAACTAGGTGTATCAAATATTAGCCTACACCTCTATGTAGACATAAGCCCACCCTTGTATAATCCCAGCCGTTAGATTGATTGGAATCCATGTGATGTAATTTTAGAACCCGTGTGATGCATTTTTATAATAAATATAAATACTTTTTAATATAATAAATGTTGTTGATATGTGCTCCTGTTGCCTCACAATCTCCCAAAGCAAGGCCCCACGTACTCCATAAAGGTCATATAATGGATTGTTTATTATAAAGGTAAATGATAATTTCCTCTTTGTCCAACTCCATTTTGTTTGTTGCAATTCATTGTTTTCTTATAAATTGTTTTTTTTTTTTTACGTAGGCACGCTAAATTTTTATTTTTTATTTTGGTCAAAGTTAGGAAAGGGAATGGAGGGGGCAAACTCACACACGGGTATCTCGGACTTGAATCCAAAACCACTTGGGAGCACACTAAATGTCTGGGCCAATCCAACTAACACCACATCAAAAAAGATACCCCGTCAAAAATCTTCATGCTTAGGTACATTAAAACTTAGCTGGGGCATTCAAACTAAAATTCTATTTAATATGTAGGAAGACTCTAGCTGTTTTTTTGGGGGTCGAAATCGGAAGACTCTAGCTAGCTAGGTTGGCCGAATATGGTGCAGCATAGCCCAGGGCCAGGGCCTGACTAGACCTGGCAATATTGCACACAACCCGTTAACACGACACGAATTGGCACGAAATTATCAGTATTTGGGTTGAGCTTAATGGGTCGGGTTGAAAACGGGTGAACCCGTTAGCCACCCGTTAAGCTAACGGGTCGTGTTGGATCGAAAACGGGTGAACCCGTTAGCCACCCGTTAAGCTAACGGGTCGTGTTGGATCGAAAACGGGTGAACCCGTTAGCCACCCGTTAAGCTAACGGGTCGTGTTGGATCGAAAACGGGTGAACCCGTTAGCCACCCGTTAAGCTAACGGGTCGTGTTGGATCGAAAACGGGTGAACCCGTTAGCCACCCGTTAAGCTAACGGGTCGTGTTGGATCGAAAACGGGTGAACCCGTTAGCCACCCGTTAAGCTAACGGGTCGTGTTGGATCGAAAACGGGTGAACCCGTTAGCCACCCGTTAAGCTAACGGGTCGTGTTGGATCGAAAACGGGTGAACCCGTTAGCCACCCGTTAAGCTAACGGGTCGTGTTGGATCGAAAACGGGTGAACCCGTTAGCCACCCGTTAAGCTAACGGGTCGTGTTGGATCGAAAACGGGTGAACCCGTTAGCCACCCGTTAAGCTAACGGGTCGTGTTGGATCGAAAACGGGTGAACCCGTTAGCCACCCGTTAGGGAGGTTAATTTTGTAATTTTGCAAAATATTTTTTCTTTTCTTTTTTTCTTCCTCTCCTTTTTTTCTTCTCTTCTTCTCTCCACTCAACAGACTCCTCCAGCTCTTCCTCTCCTTTTTTTCTTCTTCTCTTCTTCTCTGCTTCTCTCCACTCAACAGACTCCGTCAGCCCAGCCACTAGAGTCCACCAACGAGCCCAGCCACCAGAGTCAGCCAGGGAATAAAGAGGAGGTATCTGGGTCGAGTTCCACAGATTGAATTTTCTTTCTTCCTCAGTTTCTGTTGTTGTTGGGTTTTAATATATTTGTGAGAGATATATACTGTTTTGGGGTGAGAAGATTGAAATGAAAAGGGAAAGAGGGAAGAAAGGTTAGGGTTGGGGTTTGGGGGAAAAAGGACAGAGAAGGTGTTGGCTAGCTGGGTAGAGAAGCTGTGCTTTGATTTTTTTATTTTTTTTTTCTGGTTTATTCTTAACGGGTTAACGGGTCGTGTCGGATATTCGCGAATTGTAACGGGTCCTGTTTGGGTCTAGTATTTGTCACCCGTTAACTTAACAGGTCGTGTTCGTGTCAACCCGATAAGAAAACGGGTTGACCCGTTAACGACCCGAAACCCGCTAAAACGACCCATTTGCCAGCTCTAGGCCTGACCCAGAGCCCATGGTCCAATACAAATTTTAAATTGGTCCTCATTTTTTCAAGCAAACATAAGGCCCAAAATTTCTTCACATTAGAGCACTTTCATCCCTTTAAGTAGTGACAGCCTTTGCAATTTTGTTTCCACCCCTATGGGCAACGGCAATGGCAATTACTATTCACTTTAATTTATTTTCTATTTTTTTTATACTTCAACAATTATTTTTGATAAGATTTTCAGTTGCCATGTGTCACTATTTATTATAAAATTCTCATCTCAAATTTCAGATAAAATTTTCGAATAAGATTTTAGGATTAAATTTTCGGATAAGATTTTTGGTTGTCATGTATCCATATTTATTATAAAATTCACATCTCAAATTTTAGATAAAATTTTCGGATAAGATTTTCGGTTGCCATCGTCCATATTTATTATAAAATTCACATCTCACTTATCATACAATTAAAATACTCCCGGTCCTCATAGTCCAACACAATCGAGTACAAGGACAACTCAATCATTAGCGGAGGCGATTCCATCGGATCACGACGTGCGGGAGTATTTTCCTTTGAAGGACGTAATAGTGCCATTATTTCCAACACAGAATGCACCACGGGAACCAACTGTGGACATTGTTCACTTGAGGAGCCAAGTGTAATGGTTTTCCTTTTTTCTTTTCTTTTTTTTGTTTTGCCATGAATAATCTATGAAATTGGAAATGGAAGAAAATATCAACAACAAAAAAAAAGACATTAAATTGAATAAAACGGCAATTAAATTTTTTTTACCTCATCACCAAGATTTTGACCACTTCCAACGTTTGTCCACAAGCCTCCGGCATCGATGGAAGAGGTCATTTGTATTTTTACACAAATGCAATTTAGTAGTAGAAAATTTGGTGTGGAAAGTGAAAAATATTGGAAGGAGAAGAATTTGTATGAAGATTTGGTGTGGAAAGTGAATAATATTGGTAGGTATTTATAGAAAAAATTTCGAAATTTTTTGATATTTTTTACAAAAAAATTTTCAATTTTTGTTTCAAATTTTTTTAGCCAAAAAATGGGTAGCTGTTGGATTGGAGGACATTTTCGGATCGGAGCCTCCAGGAGAAGTCACGTGGCTTGTAGCCATTGGTTTATGGCAACGCTGGCATAATGCAAGCGCCAACAGTTAAAAAAAATTAAAAATCTTGCGCTGACGTCATCTGCCTGAAGGCAATAGGACGTGCCAAATCTCCCTGTGGGCTTGCCCGAGCTCATGGGTCCCACGCCTTGCCCGAGCTGGGTCTTCCGCACTGGAGCTTCCTTCTGGGCCCAGGGCCCCCTCCTGCCTCAGCTAAACCCTTGCGGTGGAATAGCTCTTAGGGATCACAAAAATTACATTAATGCCGCATGTTCCCAACGCTGCTTATTAAAATGAAATTCTGATTTAGTTCGTTTCAAACTTTTAAGATTGGGGTTCTTCAATTTTTCGAAAACTTTTTCTTTTATTTACACAATTTTTTATTT